TGTATACTCCATCCAACACTACCAACAGTTGTGGGCCCTGGACACTGAAGAAAAGAACATTAATCCTTAGTGGAATGTCCACAGTGGCCATCACCCTAGCATGAACCTGATCAGGGGTTCCGCCTCACACTGTCCTTTCCATGGTAACAGCCTCTTCTCCCACACATCAAAGGAAACCATCCTGAAATATTGAGTAGTTAGGCGGTTAGGCAGAATCCACCTCCATCCATCTGAAAACCGAGCTGCCTCAGGTGCACACACCCAGAATCCTTTTGTAGATATAATTTGTAATAATTCGAGACCAGCCCAAGCATTTCGTTTTAAACCGTGGTGTACTGAGATTTCCCCTACCCCATAGAAGCTGTGACCTTGTGAGGAAGAGAACCTCCCCCACCCCCAGGGAAACAGTGAAGACCACAGTCATCTCACAGGAGCTAGTGTTCATTTACCTTTCAGGTCTTAAGCACCACTTAGGTAAACAACCCCATTTAGAGGTAAGATTCCTCCTCAATGCAGTACAGGGTTGGCACTAAATTATCCCCTCATCCTAGGTGGCCTCCTATGCCATTAGAAGACACTTTGTGGCCCATGACATACACTTTGTTTTTTGTCATATTTCTAGGACATTAAATAAATAAATAAACCTTAGTCACTCTCCAATTTTATCACTAGGAACTGATCCTGCCAGGCTGTCTCCAACACCACCACAGCTGAGGATGTGTTCCTTGGCCTTTCTAGGTTTCAGTTTTCTCATATGTAAAGCTACAGAACTCTGAGTTCCTGCAATTAGTGCTTCTGTGGTCCCGCTCCTCGGTATAGCTGTAAAGCAATGTAACTATATATTGAATGCAGGTCAGGTGCCAGGTGCCACCTGCTTCTTTCAAGATCTTGTTGGGCCTAAAAGTTATGTCTAAAATACTGAATATATAGTACTAAATTAAATATTTGGGAAAAATTACCATATGTGGAAAAAAACATGTACTCTGAATATGGTTTTTCCTATGCCTCTACTTTGTTTTGCCTGACTCCAAACATCTGGACCTCGCCAAAAACTAACTTAATTAGAATATCCATTCCCAGAACAAAAATCTCAAGGTAGATAAATTGTACTTGACAAATTTGGGTAAATTTTATCACGTAGAAAGAGACAGAGATAATGATAAATTTCAGAGCCCAGAAAAGAGTTTTGTCCTTTTCATTTTGACACCATGGAGCATTCCAAGAAATTTCGTAAAACTTTTCCTAAGACTGAATTGGGTCTACCCACAACCCTTTCTGGGGATGTAGAAAATGTGCTCTTGGTTCCTGTGGAAGTGTGCATCTAATTAAAGTGTAAGGATTCTCAGGCCTCCTGATGAGGGTTGTTGCTCAAAAATAATGCCATGGTGTTCTAAACTGGAGTGGAGGATTGATCAGGAAAGTATGCAGCCATCCTCAGGGTGCCAACAGCTGGTTCATTCTTTTAAAAGGAGGTTTTCAAAACACATTTGTTTCTTATTACTCAACAGCAATTACTGCCACTCTGAAGAAAGCTTAAGATGCCACCTTTTGTTATAAATTACACACCAGTTGGACATAATTGTGACTTCAGCTGCTTGTTTGATCATTTATTTGAAAAAATAGCCTACTTTTCTCATGCACTTCCTTGTCCCTTTTAAAAATCATCCCAACAAGAGAAGATTATTTCACAGCTGGCTTACACTGGGGCAGAACACACACACACACACACACACACACACACACACACACACACACACACACACGCACACACACACTGTGAGTGCAGTCTCTACCTTTAGCCATAGGGAGACACTTTTCTACTCTTGTAAAGTTCAACCAGGCAGAACCAGACATGTAATGCACGCAGTGACGTAGTGGCAATGTCCCAAGACACCCTTGTCTTTTCTCTGGTTATTGCCAGATAAAGATAATTATCGTCATCACAAATATTAGCTTCCTAGTCTGTGTTCAGGAAAACAAAACTAAAAACCTCATTCTTCTTTGTCTTGACAAGAGATGTTTACAACCAAGGAGCTGTCTCTGAAGGCTCTTGAGATCAATAGTTGTGTTTGGATGAGAAGAAGGTGAGGAGGTAGAATAGGCTTTCTTCCTGCATCCCACAGCATAACACAGAATACACACTGGGGTGGTTGTATCTATGTGCAATGTGAGTTAAACATGCTTTGGCTAAATGAGGAAGTGATAATAGTGTTTACAATCTTGCCATATTGTACTTACGATGCTTCTGGACTTGTCCAGAGGAACATGACCAGAAAGAAAATCCATATGTTAAAACGTGGTTATAAATATCTACTTAGCTCAGAAACAGAAAGATTTAAAGAGGATTGACGACCTGTGTCAAGTGCTTGCAGGACTAGTGATCTGTCCAGTTTGGCCCTAGATAGCACCTGGGGAGTGGAACCCCGAAAGGAGCATATCCAAGCCATACAATCAATATCTCCAAACACAAGGTGCTGGCTAGAGATCCATCCTCCAGGGGACTTCATGGAAAGTGTGGTGGTTCCTCCTCAGCTGTTTCTAAGTGGCCTAAGTGCCCTGTAGACAACTGATCAAACAACCCCCCTGGGAGAGGCATGGAGGGAGGATCACCTATTAGTCTGACTAGAACTGTGTGGAAATGATCTTTTCTCCCCTCTCTAAATTATTTGGAAAGGTCTCCATAGCAAGGTGGGTTTGATTTTGTGTGGTTTGTTTTGCTTCATTTTGCTTGGAAAAATTCAGGAAGGTCCCACCTGGTTGGGCATGAAAGATCTCAGATCAAAGACAAAGAATGAATGGTTGTTGAACCTCTCTGCTTAGGTAGAGGACAAGTTTGAGAGTAAGATGAGTTAAGGAAAATGTGGCTTATTGATAGGCAATCAATTGATCCACATAAAAGAACAGGGGCAAAAAAAACTGTCTTATTGCCGCTATTGATCCCAGGATTAGCCATGGCTGCACTTAGCACCCCTGCCTCAGAGCGACACTGAGGATATGAAGGGTGAGTGTTCCTCAAGAAGGGTAGCGTACACATCTCTCCATGGGTATTCAGATAACTGCTTGGAGATCCAATATGCTCCAAACATCATCTTACCTTCATTTTCAAAGCAAAAAGTATCTGCAGTATAATGGATTGAGTGTCACATCTGTTAAGAATACGCTTTCAAGCAAACTCTTGTAAATTAAACCTTTAATATCACAAGTACAGTGGCAAATGTCTTCTCCAACTTAAAAGAGCCCCTGTCTGCCGGCAGCTCTGTGTGGTCACATTTCAAATGTTTTCATGAAACTAAGAGGTTAGTTTCCCTTTAAGTTGATTGTGACATAAATAATGTGGAGGCCGAGACAGCTCAGCAGATATAGGCACCTGCCACCAACTCTGACAATCTAAGTTCAGTTCCCTAGAACCCACAGGATAGAAGTAGACAACTAGCTCCTGCAGATTGTGGCTCTTGAGTGTGTACGAACTCAAGAGCACACCACACACACACACACACACACACTCAAATAAATAGATGTGAAGAACAATTATTTTTTAAAAATTTTATTATATATGAACAAAGAAATGATCATACATCCCAAGTCACCCAAACTACATGAAGTTTAAGTAGAAACTTCACTATAATATTATTCTTGGGGATATAAAGCTTTAACCTCCTATCCTGTTCTCTGATATTTGGTTTATGGAAAAATTAAATCTCCCCTCGGGGGTAAAACTAAAGTCTGAAAAGCTAACATTAATATTGTGAGTTTGGAAAAGAACATGAGGCTGCTGCTTTGCAGTATTAAAACTTGCAGTATTCCCTCTTTATGAGGTCTCCAGATAGGATTACATTCTACACTCGAGCTCGAGCACACATACGCATGCGCGAACACCCATACCCACACCCACACCCACACCCACCCACACACACACACACACACACACACACACACACACTGGAGCACACAATTTTGCTTGAACCTGCATGCACAGTGCAGCATTTTGATCAGTAAAGGCTGTGTACAAAGACAAGACAAGTCCCAGTAACTCCCACTGGGTCACCAAAACAAAATTCCCTTTTCAATGAGAACGTGTTTCCTTGGGTGTCTGGAGCCTGACACGCCATCTGTACTTCTCTATTAAACTGAGCATACCAGGACTCCAGCTGGTACCTGAGACCTCCCTTTAGTGCAATAATGGCCGTCATGCCACGCCTTTCTGAGAAGCAGCAGAAACTTCCCACCTGTGTACCTTCCCCCTGCTCACACTCTGCTCATTATTTAGAAAACTCAGGCAAGTTAAATGGTGTCCACAGAACATGAGAGTAATTCAGAAGCAAGAGAGGTCTCATTCCCCAGGTGTCGGGCCTGTCTTCCTAGGGTAATCTGTATTGCTTCCTCCATTCAAAGATCAAATCTTGAGTGCTCTTGGATTAAAAAAAAAAAAAAAAACAAAAACAAAAAACAAAAAGCCGGGCGTTAGTGGAGCATGACTTTAATCCCAGCACTCAGGAGGCAGAGGCAGGTGGATCTCTGTGAGTTCGAGGCCAGCCTGGTCTCCAGATCGAGTGCCAGGATAGGCTCCAAAGCTACACAGAGAAACCCTGTCTCGAAAAAACACAAAAACAAAAACAAACAAACAAACAAACAAAAAACCTCTGGGAATTGGGGGAAATTGATAGTAAAGGAAAAATATTCCAGTTTCTAAAAGTTATCATCTCCTAAATAGGAACCCTTTAAGAAACCATTGTTAAATGCATAGTAACTTGGGGAATAGCTGAAGCAAAAACAACAAAACAAAACACCCCAAAGGGTGTTGAATTCCTCATCAATGGGTAAAAGGTACCTCCAAGTCTCAATGTTTTTCGTTTAACAGAAAGGAAAACCCTTCTTCATGCTTTTCTATTGCTAAAAGTTAGAGTAATATAAAACAGTTGGGGGCGGTGCTGGAGAGGCTGGAACCTGGCACAGCAGCCAGCAGATTTCTGATCTCTGGTTTGCATTGATCTTACATTTAGACACAGACTCAGAAGAGCAGACCCTCCCTTTTCCAGTGCCTTCGGAAAGATTGCCGCTCCGTAGAATGAGTCCTTTCTCCTCCACCCTTAATCTGCAACCCAGCTTCCCCGGGAGATCCTACTTTGATTTCCGTTCCTCACCCCACCAGCTGAGCTTGCATTCTTCTTTACAGTCTCTCAATGCACCGGGTGAGCTGAGCTCTCAGATCTTTCCCTTCATCCCTGTGTCTTGGAAGCATCTCTGAAACACTTTTGTTGTTCATGCCATCTGTGTGCGTGGTGAGGGGGGTGACCTGCGTCTGTGTCTGTGGCTTCCAGTGTGGCTGAGGGAGCTTCCTGGCATTCTTGTTTGTATGGTGGAACGGCCCACCCTAGAGCTGTGGTCCATGTGTGATGGGCATCGGAACGGGATGTGAGAAGTTGTTCTTTTTGCATCAGCTGGTACCACCATGGAAAACTTGCCCTCCATCACATGCAGCACCATAGCACGGCATAGGCACTGGCTGAGCAGAGGCCATGGCAGTAATGTGGAGGTTTGCAACCTTCTGTATCCAGGAAACCAGCTGTGTCTGGGAGACTGGATCAGTGCATCCAGCCTGGAGTGGTCTGATTAAACATAGACTCAAGAGATCTTTACTGATGAAAATAAAACTAAAGGCCAAAAAAAAAAAAAATGCCAATAGCAGAATACACCCTACAAAGCAAGGGAAGCACAGGGCAGAAAATAAAAGCCTTTTATGCAAAGCCCTGCCCATACTGGTAGGGCTGCAGGCTCACAACCCATCTCTGTTAGCTGAATTAGCAACCCTTCAGTCATGACGGCCAGGGCCAAAGGTCCTATGATCAAAATATGAGGCCTTAGGAAGATGCTCACAGCCAAAATGTAACAGGGCTTATGGCTGGTTCCAGGGAAGATAGGCTCAGATTATTTTACAGTGAGCAATGTGTAGCAAACAGAATCTTCAAATTCCTAAAATGCAGACCTATTTGATCTCTTCGGGACTATATTGTAATCACGGATACACATGACGCACATCTCACGTTCCCAAGGGTTTCTTTTGGGTTTTATTTTCTTCCTTTGGCTCATCCCACATCCTGGAATAAAGAAGGCCACAGCATGACAGTGCAAAAAGGATGCAGGGACTTCGAGCTCCCTTGAAAAGTGACATTTTTTCTTGTGTTTTTTACGTTTCTTCTTGTTTTTCTGTGCACTACTGGCTTTGCCACATGCTTTGTTATGGAGCCCTTCGCTTGTCTCTAATGTACCAAAATACTGTTACGGTCTTTGTAATGTATATCGTCTCGAGAATAAAATGAAATGGAATGTGGGGTACGGATGCTTGGCAGGTGTATTTAATAGACTCATTCCAGTTGTATTGTTGAATCATAAATGTATGATGTTGTCTTCGAATTAGTAGAAAAGGAGTTCAGAATATTTGTTTTTGGAAAGACTCCACAAGGCATGATTCATTTAAAAAATCTGAAAGCCCTATTTAGATTCCACTAATTTATTTCCAAACCTGGATATGAGATTTGGCCTTAAAATTCTTTATGTTCCATACTTAACTGTGCTCTCACTCATAATGAGGAACCAGACAGTTGGCAAAAATTAAACATAAAAAATCAGCCATGAGCTGGAACGAAATGAATGTATCCCCAGAATAAAGTCAGCTAAGCAAGGGAAGGTGACAATATTTAAATTGTTAACTCCGTGCTCTTTTATAGTAAGTCACCTAATTAATTCTTGTAAAATTCTTTCAAGTCAGCGCCTTATCCTTCCAATTGTTTTAGAAACCAGCTTACTAGGACAATACTAAATTGGAAAATTTGCATGGTTCTTTCCACAAGAGACTCACAATTCCTAGACTAGTCCTCAACGTCACTGGAAATTGTAGGTCACACATCTGTGGACATTTTAAGCTGAATCACTTCCCTCCCCCTCAACCAGACCTTAGGGAAGATGAGAGTAGAAGTCCCACAAGTGATTCCTATATAGATCTGAGCCCATGTCCTGCCCCACATCAGCCTTCCTCCCCTCTCTCAGGTGAGAAGAGCTGCCGTAGCAAAGCAAGCTTAGACAGAAAATAAATAATCTTTTTTGTACAACACTCAATTCCTGCTACTTTTAATTATAAGGCATCCATTAGCAGGTGCATTAAATTCCACAATTCTTTATATGTGGACTATTTGCTCATCGCAGCAAACAAAGGCTTTCTGCCATAAACTAGTAGGAAATCAGTAAACTATTGCCACAGAGCAGGCTTATCACTACCCGGTGACTTTTTTTTCTACTTCTATTGGGTAAGTTTTTCTCATCTTTAAAACAGCCGACTTCCTCAGGTTGTAAATGTTAGTGTACAAAACTAAACCAGGAAGATAATGAAAATTTAAGCTGCAGCATTTACAGTCAATTGGCAAAGCTTCTGCAGAGATGGAAAAAGATGAACTTCATGTTTGGAAAAAGCACAAAAGCAATTTATACCCAGAAAAGAAAAGGAACACAAAATGGGCTTTGGCTTTTTGTTTTTTGTCTTTTTTCATGAATCAGGCCTCTGGGGGACTATAGTCAGTTGTGCTTTCTAAATGAATGCAAATAGCTTTTATCAACCTGGTTGTCATTTCATAGTCTTGATGTGTAGTATCTTTTTATAGGATGCAATTTTGAGACACAATCTGCATCTTACTCTCAATTAGGCAAGTATACCTACTGTAATTGTTACCTTTTGCCTGTGTGACTGCTATGCTCAATTCCTTTGCAAAATAAATGGTGGCAGCTTTGTCATGTCAATAAAATTTTCCAAATGTCATTTGAACTCCATTATAACAGTTTCTCAATTTCTTAGAAAAATGCCTGTTTTTTTTTTTAACATTATACCCTTCACCGCCCCTCCCTTTCTTCTACATCAATGCAAAGTACTCTTTACGAGCACTAAATGTCAGTCAAGGCACAAGTCAGCTGGCTGTTGTTGTGTATGTAATGTTCTCAGTGGAGCCCTTGTTGGTATTAGTCTATCAAAAGAAACATGCTTCTTGTCAATGTCAATTTTGCTTCCTATTTCTCTCCCCCATGCCTTTCACTGGAATGACAACAGTTGACATTAAAAAGCTGTTGGCAGGTATGGAATAACATTATTCTTTTACAAATAGCAGAGACAGTGCATGTGAAGTGGCTACAGGCTCAGTACATGAGTACTCTCGCCTCTTCAGACTGCTCTTTATAGGCAATACGCAGAAATTGGGGCAGAGTGTATCCAAAAACCTCATCCTGGGCTGCAGAGGTGGCTCAGAGTTTAAGAGCACTGGCTGTTCTTCCAGAGGTCCTGAGTTCAATCTCCAGCAACCACATGGTGGCTCAAAACCATCTGTAATGAGGTCAGGTGCTCTCTTCTGGAATGCAGGCATATATGAAGGCAGAACAGAGTGTATGTTATTAAAAAATTAATTAACTAATTTTATAAAACTCATCCTATCTCCATCTAATGTCCAAACTGCTTCTCACAATGTATATTAGACGTCGGCTTTAGAAGTGACATTTATCTACAAATTACAAAGGAAGCAATCTGTCCTACACCCAAGTCACAGTTGTACATGAAAATTAGTTCATGTTGCTTTGCAGCTTCAAGGCTTGTGTGAGCAGGTGTGAAAGCCTATACGAAGTTTTCCATACTTCGCCTACTCGTATTTCCTGATTTCACTCAGTGTGTCTTATCCCTCCTCCATCCAGGATTATAGACCTAGCCTCCCTGCCTCAGGGTTACACAGGCATCCTAGCACACCCCCTCACCCTTTATGTCTCTGGTACACTATTCTGCCAGTCACCAGGTGAAGGGACTTGATGCCACTTCACTCCTGGATCAACTGGTTGGGAGTGCACTCTAAGCCAGGTAAACCCTGCTGAATGGGTCATGTGTCCTCTGTCCACTCCTGGTGCAGAGTATCAACTCCCAGGATGTGCCCCATCTGTTCCCTTATGGTGACACTGGCCCCAAACACCTCCTTCCTGCATGGCAGCATGAAAACGTGACACCACGTGCCACACTGCCCAAAAGCATGCTACAATCCTTGAGGCCATCCTAATAACTCACTTCCCTTCTGTTGTTTTCAGTGGCTTGGTTTGCTTTTGACCCTGGCTCGGCACACTCGGACATCATCCTCTCCAATGACAACCTGACAGTGACCTGCAGTAGCTACGATGACCGGGTGGTGCTGGGGAAAACTGGTTTCTCCAAGGGCGTCCACTACTGGGAGCTAACCATAGATCGCTATGACAACCACCCTGATCCAGCATTTGGCGTGGCTCGCATCGATGTCATGAAGGATGTGATGTTAGGAAAGGACGACAAAGCTTGGGCAATGTATGTGGACAATAACCGGAGCTGGTTCATGCACAACAACTCGCACACCAACAGGTACCCTGCAGCCCCACACCAAGCCTTCTTCATGGTGGCTTGGGGTCAAGAGGGAGAGCCCTAGTTCAACAGCCTATTACACAGACAGCATTAGGAAGCAGGGCATGTGGTCTTCATCTCTTAGCTGTGGTCCACTCTCCTGCTTTCCACATTGCATAGAGGAAGAGTTGTATTCCTTCTCCTTGGCCCTTTATTGTTAAATTCCACCCAGGGCTACAAAAGACAACCCCCAGGTGTATCCATTATAGACAAATAACCCAGGTTCTAAAGTCTAGACCTGGAACTTACCAGGAAAGTTCGGGCCAAGGTACTTCATTTTTTCTGAATCCTGGTTTGTCAATCCTCCAAATTCATATAATCATGTTTCCATGCAGGAGTGGTCTGAAGAGTACATGAGATGATTTGCAGAAATGCCTCACATTGGAAGTACCTGGGAATAGAAGCCATTGTTCTTTTGTCATTATCACCAGTACTGTTTCTCAGAATAGAAGCCATTAACTAAACTTGGTGGTAGGGATGCCCTTGTGGATAGCTTTAAACTTGAACAACTCACTTGTTACTGTATGCATCACAACACCCAGGTTGCTGAAGAAAGATGATACAGTAGCTCCTTAAGAAATGTCCTCTACCACCAAAGTATAGACAGTTTTAACTTAATACATCATTTCCTTTCCCATTTGTTTGTGTTCTCTTCAGAAGTGTTTCTTCTATTTTCTGGACCAAAGGTGTCTTTTCATGGACACTGGTCTGTCTTAGTCTCAAGCACTGCCCCAGGATACATTCTCTTTGGAGTTTCTGGAAAAAGAAAAAAACTACCCATTGTGTTCAGTGAGATCAAAGGAAGAGCTGTCCCAGCAGGGACAGAATAATAACTTCTCTATTTCGGCTTCTCCGGCAGCTAGCCACTGACCCTTTGACAGCCAGTAGACTCCTAGCGCTTCCTGGCCCTCAGACACACTCTGTCCAGCTCCATACGTGTATATCTTGCTGGTTACCCCTTGAAGTGAACACAACAAAGAGTTTATATCTTGATATCAAATCTGACAGGATATAGACAGCAGCTATTTTCAGTGATTGACATTTGGGGGAACTCTGTCACTAGATTCCTGATACCATCACCCATGCACTTGTTTAGACCCATGATTTTGGAGTAACGGACTAAATAAGATCAGCACATCACACGATGCAGAAAAGCACATTTCAGAAGCTGAACACATCTGCTTGCATGCAAGCTGCATGTCCCTTGTGCTGTTGCTGACGAATTTGTCAATGTAGTCTGTAAGCCTGTCTGTGGCAGTTTCCAGTCTGTCTTCTGCATGCAGGAGAAAAGAGTGAAGCCGGGTAACATTTCTGTGCCCTGCTGAGATGAAGTTCAGTGTTGCTAGGTCTCGAACTCAGGAGGGAAGAGAGGTGTGGCCATCCCTATCTAAATGTCCTTCTGTGAAATCATCAGTGCAGCAGAAGGCATAGTTCTTTGTAGGATGACATCTGAACTTGGGTTCCTGGAAATCACTGTATTCCCTGTAGTATGTCTCAGGGAAGCATCTCCTTCGATGCTGTCATTTTTACAGAAAGACTCTAATGCCTTCTTTCTAATTCAACATGCCCAAAGACTAGCATCTTTCCAGAGTGTGTTTCACCACTGAATGGGAAACAAAAGGCTCTGAGTCTGGTAGCCCATGCATATGTTCCGGGCTCCAACTAAGTAAACGCTCTTTTATTTTGACTTTCAGATTACGTCATTCTGTATTACATGCTGTTACATTCACACCATTTATGCAAAATCTAAAATGCAGCTGATGTGCTGGAGTAGCTGAAAGGCTACTTTGGCCCAGGCTTCTGTAGTCAGTTTTCTCCTGTTACAGCTCAGATTCCATGTGTACCAGTTCACTCTCAGCAAGGCACAGTAAATAAGGGACTTCGAGGAGGGGTGGCTGCCTCCACAGGGAAGTGGAAATTTGGGGGGAGCAAAAAATCTAAATCAGCTGGGGGTTGGTGGTGCATGCCTTTAATCCCAGCACTGGGAAGGCAGAGACAGGTGGATCTCTGTGAGTTCAAGGCCAGCCTGGTCTACAGAGCGAGTTCCAGGACAGGCTCCAAAGCAATACAGAGAAACCCTGTCTCGAAAAAAAAAATCTAAATCATATTTTCATATGCAAAGCAAGGATACACCAAATATAAATAGTATATAGTGTATCTAAGGCTTTAAAGTTTTATGTTCAAAGGATTCCTTAGAGCAAAAAAAAAAAAAAAAAAAGTGCAAAAAAAGCTGAGCTGGGGGGAAAATGTAAACAGGTTACAAAATCCTGGTTTGGCAAGGCCTGGTGGGACGGGCCTATAGTCCCATCTACCTGGGAAGTTGCAGCAGGAGGATTGCCAAGTTTCAGGCTTGCCTGGGCTGTGGTGGAAGTTCAAGGCCAGCCTGGACAATTTGATAAGACCCTGTCTCAAAAAGTAAAAAGAGAACTGGGGATAAATGCAGCGGCAGAGCACTTGCCCTAGGGTCAATCCCCGGTACCAAATATCAAAAGCAAAAATAAAGAAAAGTTCGACAAACCGACAGGGGGAGATTTAAGAATGGCAACGAGCTAATGAGACTCCATTTTTCTTCCTTTTCCCACAGAACTGAAGGAGGGATCACAAAAGGGGCCACCATTGGAGTCCTCCTCGACTTAAATAGGAAAACGTTAACATTTTTCATCAACAATGAGCAGCAAGGGCCCATCGCATTTGAGAACGTGGAGGGCCTGTTCTTTCCTGCTGTCAGCCTGAACAGAAATGTGCAGGTGAGCACCAGGGCCCTGGGACTAAGGGCAGCTTCCTCAGGTTGCTGCTTCAAAGTCTGCCCAGGGCAGTAAAATCCTCAGAACCCCAAGAGGGAAGCTGATCCGAGGTGCAGACTGCACACCAGCGGACCCCTTCTCATGCCCTTGCCACCCACGCACAGGAAACACAGGCCTCCTTTCCCCTTCCCTACATGCTTTGTTCTAGTTTCATCTCTAACTAGAGCTGAATGTCTTCAACAGAGTGACATGAAAGCCAATGAGATGACTCCTAGGGAGCACCAGGAATGCCCGAGAAAAGCAAACATTAGACCCTTATCAGAAGGCGGGAGAGGCTTCACTCTCCTTCACTCTGCCTTGCACTGTTGGCTGGGAAGCACAGTTACTCTCAATTTCCTATAGATACAAAACAACAGGTTCTTCTCACTCCTTTACTCAACAGGGCCCCTGTAATATGCCAGCTCTGTTGTAAATATTTGATAGTCATCAGTGAGAGAGAAAATAAACAGATACAAATCTTACCCTCCCTAAGCTTATATTCCAGTTACCACTATTAAGCAAGGTGGCCAGTGGGCTGGCCTTGTTGTGGTCACTGCTGATCTGAATCCTGAAGGAAGAAGGTGGTAGGCTGGGTAGAGGTTCCCAAACTTACAAGTTTCTAAGGCACGAGGTTGGGCAGAGAACAGCAAAGAGGCTAGTGGGCTGGGGCAGGGAGCAGTAGAGGGGAGTTGCAAAGCTTGCAAGGAGTGTGGGTGGTCCTGCCGACCACTGTTAGAATCCAGGACTTCACAGCCCTCCTGAGTTGGTCCTCCCATTACCCGACATACACCTCACTAGCCTTGAAATAGGACTTGAAAACAAAATCCTGTAGACGATTCATACCTCCACCTACAGCCACAGCCTTGAAACTCTTTTACATCAATTACAGTCTATGAGGATATGCAGTAAAACTGTTTACAACCCAGCAACCCCTGCCTTCTGGCTTTCTGCAAGTAGGTGGGACTGTCTGGGGATGAAATTTAACTCTTCAGAGGCCAGCCTGACATCAGAAGACAGAAAGCTTAAACTGCCGTAGAAGTGAATATAAGAAAAAACTCATTGTAAATATTCTACCTTTTCAGACATTTCCCTTCCAAAGACTACCACTCTAGTCATGCTTCAGGCTTTCAAGGATGTTACAGCATCTTTAAACAAAGACTCTTGACAGGGATGGTATGGACAAGAAGGAGAAAGTGGCAGTTTTTATGAGATGCTTCTAGTCTTTTCCCATAGCTATTCAGCATAATTTGAGATTGCCTAGAAATTGGCACAACAGCATAAGTGCCATGTTTCTTCTGTTAAAAATCCTTTGTTCAATCCCAGAAAGATTTGTCCATAACTGGAACTCATGAACAAGCTAATATATTCTTTGTCCATAGACTTGGGCCGTGGTCACTTTGTGTAGGCCAAAGGCTTCACTACCTACACACAAGTGCCTTGTCTTCAGTCAAAAGAAATGCAGTCTCCCAGAATACTTTTAAAGAAGTAGGGATTGTGTCTCCTGGGTTTGGAGGCCCACCATGGTTGCCCGGCTCTTACTGCAGCTGGAATCCCGCTAGAAGTCCCTTTAATGTCTTTAGGATAGATGTTCAAGAGAAGTGAATGGGCCCTTATCGAATTGAGGTCACACAACCCCGCACTGTGATTAGATCAATGTAAGCACAGCGTCCTGCATAGCTCACAGTCTCATTCCCCAGGTCACGCTCCACACTGGGCTTCCGGTCCCCGACTTCTACTCCAGCAGAGCTTCCATAGCCTAAGGGTATGCTGCGGAAGGCACTAGCTGTCCAAGAGGGACAGCATGGAGCCACCAGCCTCGGTAGAAGACAGAGGAGAGGATCTGGTCCTCTGCCATCTCCGCCCCTACAGCGCCACCCTATCCCGTCAGCCTCTCCGCATCACTTCACCTACGCTCCTTCCTCATCCAGACGTCCTAACCCGCAGAGGACCTCAGCCGCCCACCAGTTCCCTTTGTTTCACATGTTGCTTTTCTTTAATTTAGGGTTCGGGGTTTTGGCTTTTTTGGTTTTGTTTTGTTTTGTTTGTAGACTGAGTTTGTTTTGTTTCTTTTCTGATCATGTTTTGCTGACTTACCTAACTGGCACTGCCAAGAGAAAATTCTCCTGGAAACTTTTTTTTTAAGCTTTTGGTCTCACAAAGATGTTGTAGGGAGAGCAGGTAGGAAAAAGGTTGAATTTAGAGTTGGCCATTTGACTCCTAGAATGCTCTTGCCCTGTTTCTTGTCAAGCAACGTCAGCTCTTCATGGCTCCTTCTTGGGAGGTAGGCAGAGTGTACCTGGCACCCAGAAGTCATACTCTACCCTGAAGCACAAATATATCAGCTACACAGATTCACAGCAGGGTGAGGGCTTTCAGATAGGCTGTAGACACTGGGCAGGCCAGGGGACTCAATGATTTGATTCATTTAGCTAATACAAGATTTTAATTAAGAATGCTATGGACAGGCACTTTTCAAGACACTAGAATCTGTGTTCTAGACACTGGGGAAGAACAAGGGAAAAGATGACAACTCTACCTTCCTGGAGCTTATATTCTAGAAGGGGAACAAAGCAAACAACTTCAAGTTGTTCTAAGTACAAAAAGGAAACAGTCAAGAATCAAAGAAGGTGTCATTGACAAATCCTTAGCTTGATGTTGAACCCATGCACTCCAGGCCATCACACCAGACATGTACCAACCCAATGCTTTTTCTACCGCACTATCTTAATTATGGTCCTTGCTGCCACGCATCACAGAGCCCTTCTTTGGCAGAAATGATGTCAGCATTGTTACTCATTAATGCTGCAGTCATAACAAGCCTTAAAAAAAAAGAATGTTAAAAACAAAATGACCAGAGAGCACAGGGCCCAGTCACAACACTGGGGCTCCTAAGTTGCAGACCACAACATGTACATTCTCAGGACAAACACAGTCTCGATGTATACTCTCTGTGCCTGTTACAAATGAGAATCCATCCACTCACAGCCTGACTTTCTAAGGAAGTGCAAATCAGGTTTGGAAAAGCATGATCATAGATGTCATTCCTGGGACTGAGTGCAGAATATCCATGCTACTATCCATGTTACTGCTCCTAGCAGGGTAGACACGTACCCTTCAGATGCTTTTGTTTGACACGAAGTTTTAGAGAACATAGGACCTGGAAGACAAACATTTGATGAGTTGCTTACATATTTTCCACTGAGCCAAGAAACTCATTAGAACAAGGGTAGGACGACCGAGGAGGGATGGGAGAGCTGACATTGCCTTGGCAAAAAGTAATCTATGTAAATAGCTCATTCTCTACTCTTGTGCTTCTAGACCATCTGTCGTTACGGTGTTTTTTCTAGTTAGAACCTAATTTATTGAATGGGTGCTATCCTGTCTGTGTCTGTCTCGGGTTCTCGTGGCTCCAGGACACTGTTGCAGGACAACACTAGTTTGATCTTTGATTTATGCTCTAATGAGACTCGATGGCTGGGCCGCTAGTTACTATCTTTATTAAATCCACCCCGCTGGTTAGAGTTCTAGTGACTTGTAACAAATAGTTTACACTAACTACAACTATAGATGCATACAGCTACTGTACTAGAAAAGTAAAAATAAAACTATCGTTCCTGGTATGCAAATAAAGGGTTTTTATGAGAGAAAACTGCCTCCAGAGAAGTTCTTTCTAAGTTTGCACATGTTTTAGGGTCACAGTTCACCTTTATCAGGGCAGTATTTGCCTAGCAAAGTGTGACCAGAAAGTCCCCAGAGATCTTGAAAGAGAACGTTCTTTCAAGATCTCAAATCCCTGAGAGCATGACTGTGCCTCTGGGTTTTACACAGCCCCTAAGCTGACCTTGATATGAAGCGTGCAGGTTTGCAATGCTTTGGCGGGTGCCTCCACACACTGAGATTTTACTTTAATAAACTGCTTCTCAAACAGCCACAAAATGTGCTGCAGAATATCAGAGTGTCCCTGACTCCTGTAAGTTTTTAAAATAGCTAAATAACACAACTGTTTTCATGTCATCGAAACACTACTGGTCACCTTTCATTTCTATTAGCCCTTTTCAGTGGACCAACTTTGTTTCTTATTAAAAGGGAAGGAAGCAGGTAACTGGAGTGATTTTTCAGGTTGCAAAGCGCTTGCTGGACTTGAGTAGAAGCCAAGTGACTCCTCTGTAATCTCTGCATAGGGGAAGTGGAGACAGGAGGTGCCCTGGGGCTTGCTGGCCATCCGGTTTAGCCTGCTTTGTAAATTCTAAGCCAATAAAAGACCCATCTTAAATTAATTAATTAAAACAAGTGGGTAGCACCTAAGAAATTATTCTTGAGAGTGTTCCCTGGCCTCCACACTGGTGTGTACATATGCACATAGACACCTGTACACATGTGTACACACACACACACACACACACACACACACACACACACACTAGGTAAGATTATATAAAAGTATAAAAGTCACTGATCTGAGTTGCAATGTCACAGGGTAGCATGAGGCACACTGCCACCAGATGCTGCCCTCTGTCTGGTTGGTTTCTGTCTGGTCTTTTCCTTGCCCCCTAATGGGGCACTTTTTCTGGCTTCTTTTATTTGTCCCCTCCATCCCTGCCTGGTTTTCTTCTCCTCACTACTTATTGAAGCCCATTAGCTGCTCTTTATTCTTGTCTGGTGCTAAGGTTAATGGACTTTCTGTTCTTGGTTTTTTTTTTCTCCCAAGAATGATGACATGACTTGCCAGCAATCACCCTATTTTCTGGAAACGGTGTCCTTTCTTCTGCCTCTAATATACGCATTTATCTTTCACCCATATACTCAACTCAAAGATATAGAGAGTGATGCTATTGTATCCAGATTTCTGACTAGAATATGGGGGATTATATAATTAAACAAACACGTTCTCAGATCACACCGCCTTACAATCTTCAGGGACACACCAGAGACCACTGTGTGCATTGCAGCTACTTCTACCAAGTCACAGATCTTGCAATGTATTGTCCTTAACTGAGACTACCTAGATCTTTCATGTCTCCGAAGAACCAGAGACGAACATGGAATTTGGGGTGCTGGATATGAGTGAACAATAAATAGGAGCACCTAACAAAGTAACAGTCCAGCTCTTTGATTCGTGACCTCTCCACCCTGCCAACATTAAGTAAAATCAAGGCTACTTGAACAGAGGGACTGTAATACATTGAGCCTGTGGGACTGACAATCTGTGGCAGCTACTAGGTGACTAATGGGCAAATGGAGCAGGCAAAATACTGAGTGGGATATCCTGAACAAAGGGATGACTCATGGGGAAGATGGGTCACGATGGCCCATGATTTTAACATACTATTCAGAGGATATATACTTCATTCTCTTGATTTTTTAAGATAGAGTTTCACTATATAGTCCTGGATAGCCTGAAACTCACTCTGTAGACCGGGCTGACCTTGAACTTGCAAAGATCCTCCCACCTCTGCTTCTAGAGTGTTGGGTCTACAGACAGGTACAACGATGCCTGGATCAGACAATCTTAAACTTAAAAATTGTTTGTTTCCAGGAACTTCTATTTGATATTTTCATGCTGCGGTTGGTCATGAGTAACTAAAACCATAGATGACAAAGCTGTGAATAACAAGCAGTGGGCAGACGTGTTTGCACAGCGAATGGGTCACACAGAGAGGAGAAGCATAAGGAATGCTCCGAGCAGTAAGATATGCCAAACATAAGAATGAATTCTTAAGTAGCTTCCACTCTCTGGCCCTCGGATGACTCGAGAGCAGGAAAGTCCACTGGCAGAATACAGCAGCTGGCGGTGAATGTCTGGGTTCTGGGTCATACCGTGTGGGCTGTGTGTGCCTGGGCAAGTGATGACACTCACCCCAGTATTCGCATGCCTAAAGCAGATGTGAGCACACAATCATTCTAAGGGTTTAATCAAATGATGTTATCTACCACAGTCAAAAGAGTGCCATTTGCTATTCTGTAGCAAACTGAAACATCCTCCTAGAGGAGGAGGGTGTTCATGAGACTCAAGTAAACAAAACTGGCAAGTCCAAGAATGGCTAGATAAAGAGTCCCAAAGCCAGTCTGAGACTATCCATGACTATAGCAGTTGCTAGGGAGTCAAGACTCTCACTAGCCAGGCTTCTTGCAACTCTGAAGTCTGCTGGTGCTCCTGGGATGCAGTATTCCTGAGTCAGCACTCATTCTTGGCTTTTCAGTGAATCATCCCTGCTCCTATAAGTAACCACAATAAACTCACTCAGCTAGACTTGTTACAATTGTTTCTTCCATGTCTTATATGGGATGAATAGGTGTTCCCTGATATCTTACAATAAATGCTTCAAAGTTCTTAATGATTGGCCAGATCTCAAATGGGTGTCAGTAGTGACTCTTACCTTCACATTTTGACAAATATGTACTGGATGGAGTTTTTACAACAGTCATCAGAAGAGTATGACTCCCAAGAACAACTACAGCATAGCATAAAAAAATCAATCAATCAATTTCAAAATGGTGAAAAATATACAGAAATTGGCCAAGTAGGATGGAGGAGATGGCTCAGCAGATAAGGGTCTTTCCACCATGCCTGATGTCCCTAGGACCCACACAGTGGAGGGAGAGAGCCAACTCTCTCGCATATTGTTCTCTGACATCAATACTGGTACCATGATGTACTCACTTATATGTGTGCAATCTCTAAATAAATGAACAATTTTAAAGAACTTGATTAGTTAGATAGCGAAACCACATTCTTCATTCTTTACCACAGAACATTCAA